CACAGCCATCAAAATCCTCCCCTCCCTCTCCCCCAACACAACTGCCCACAGCCTCCTTGTTTTCTGTCAGTTGTGAAGGTTGACTGTGTCAGTTGTATTAACAGCAGACTGATATGTTTGCTTCCACTAGAGAATACTGACAAATCCACATCACTAGTTCTCAGCCGGTGTGTCAACACACAACAGTGGACTTCCCTGGTCCCTGGGGAGGAGGCCTGTACATATACAGCACACAGTCTATAGAGTCCAACAATGATAAAACTGCAATGATTCCCATGGGGAGAATTCAATTACGGCAGTAGAACACCATAACAGATTACAGCCAGGGAGAAAATTGAATAGGGGATAGAAAGATATATATATCTCAGCAAGAAGAAAGTGATGAGGATTATATGAAACAGAGCTGAACTTTACAATACATGCAGAGCACAACTGATGAACAGAAAACATGGATAAAATGTTGGATCAAAGTCAGTGTGCTTAATATTTTTTGCATTATAGTCTGAGATGCATTGTCTGATTTCCAAACTTTAAATAAAGTATCACACTAGTAAGTAAAAACACAATAGTCAAGGTACACAGGGAAGATTAGAATTTGCACAGAGAGTGCAATTAAGTGTGTAATGCAAAACAAAACAGTTTTAGAACTTAGCAGGGAAAGGTTCCAACAGTATTAACTGGTTGTCTCAGCCAGCTGACAGTGTTGCGTGCAACTCAGCTTGTCAAATCTCTATTTCTAGAACATAAGGTATGTCACCGGTTTCAACAGCCAATCGGCTTGTTGCGAAGTCAGCTGTTCAAGTCAGTTACAACTGCCAGCTGTTCGAAATGGCAGAGTTTTGAATGGAGAAACAATCATCTCATCAATTTCGTTGCTATTGAGATTATATACCCTTTCACCTAGTAGCATTTGTTTGAACTGCCAGGGTTTCAAGTAGTTTCAAGTTTGAACGGAGCTGGTCTGAATTGGGCTTTAGTCCGAGCAATGAGGCACATGCTACTACCATTATATCAGTGTTGCAAAAATATGATGGTTACATATATTGCCAGAAGTGGGGTATTTTTTGAGGGCACAAAGGCCACATATCCAAGGCATCAAGGCTGCAGATTAAATTGATTCACTTTAAAACAAATCTATTTCTGAAAGCATTAATGCCTTTTTAAAACACTTCAAGAGAAATAAAATGTCTTTTTTATTACAAAAAATAATCAAATTTAACCTATTATTAAAATTCCAGTGTGTAAGATTTAGGATGACCAATTGCAAAAATGTAATACAATTAGTGCTGTCAAATGATTAAAATATCTAATCGCTATTAATCGCATTAATGTCATAGTTAACTCGCAATTAATCGCAAATTTTTTCTATTATAAATGTCCCTTGATTTCTTTTCGTCACATTATTTTTTCTCATTTTAATGCTCTTATCAACATGGAAAAGTGGATCGGCTTGCTTTGTGCAAATGTTGTTTTTATTGAAAAATCATCCATTGTCGCCTGGCTTTGACGAGGGGGCAGAGAATTCGCATCAGCTGTGTGCTTGGCCATCAAGTGGTATTTCAGACTGGACGTGTTGCGATGATAGCTCAGTTCACAACGACAAAACACACAGATCACTTTGGTCTTGTCAATGGAACCATTTGGCAACTTTTTAAAAGTAAACTTTCCATTCAGAATATTATTGGCATCCATTTCGGCGTCTCGCGCTTGCCATCCACTCAAAACATAACGTCTACTACTCTTAAACAAGTGTGTGCGGCGGGCCTGTTGTTTTGTTTCCGGTCTAGCTAGATCCAGTGTGTTGTTGTAGTTTTTCTAACGTTACTAGTTGTTGCAACAGCATGTGAAAAAAAAAATCATGGGAACAGAAAAGTGAATGCCTAGCTACACTTGCCGTAAGCCAGTCCGTAAACCACCTAACACAAAATTACATTTGTGTTATTTGAACATCGTTTATATGATCCCCAATCTCTGTACTTCAAATATCTCCTCCAAAGACCTCCAAAAATTGATTAGAAAGTAAATAATCCACCTTGTTCATGTTATGCGCCCACCATTACTACAGTTGCTCACTTCCCTCTCTCCACGTTCTTCTACGAACTAGCCTCACTGTACTGTGGCTACTGCGCTGTGATTGAACAGTGATTGATACAGTGACGACTCTCTGCCTACAAGAGAGGGATGTCAGCAGACTCTTTAAGAGGCAGAACCCCCACAAAGCAGCCGGAACAGATAATGTCTCTCCATCCACCCTGAAGCACTGTGCTGACCAGCTGTTTCCGATGTTCACAGACATCTTCAACACCTCATTGGAGACATGTCATGTGCCAGCCTGCTCCATGTCATCCACAATCATCCCTGTCCCCAAAAAGCAAGGACCACAGGACTAAATGACTACAGACCTGTTGCCCTCACCCCTGTGAGTCATGAAGTCTTTTGAGCGCCTTGTGCTTTCCCACCTGAAAGCCATAACGGACCCACTCCTGGACCCCCTGCAGTTCGCCTACAGAGCCAACAGGTCTGTAGATGATGCACTTAACATGGCCCTGCACTTCACCCTCCAGCATCTGGACTCCCCAGGAACCTATGCCAGGATCCTGTTTGTGGACCCCAGCTCTGCTACAGGACTAGCTCTCCCAGGTCAGTGTGCCTGACTCCACCTGCAGGTGGATCACAGACTTTCTTTCTGACAGGGAACAACAAGTGAAGCTGGGGAAAAATGTCTCTGCCTCCCAGACAATCAGCACCGGATCCCCCCAAGGCTGTGTTCTTCTCTGCTCTTCTCCCTGTATACAAACAGGCAGTGGGCAGTATCCAGTCGGCAGTCCGTCAAGCTCCTGAAGTTCGCGGATGACACCTCCCTCATTGGGCTCATCTCTGGTGGAGATAAGTCCGCCTACAGATGGGAGATTGACCATCTGGTGACCTGGTGCAGCCAGAAAAACCTGGAGCTAAATGCTCTAAAAACAGTGGAGATGGTTGTGGACTTGGTTGTGGTTGTGGAAAGAACCCAGCCCCACCCGCCCCCATCATCCTGTGTGACGCACTTCTACACTGCCATCATCGAGTCCATCCTCACCTCATCTATCACCACATTGTACACTGCTGCCACTGCAAAGAACAAGGGCAGACTGCAGCGTATCATTCATTCAGCTGAGAAGGTGATCGGTTGCAATCTGCCATCCCTCCTGTACGCCTCTAGGACCCTGAAGTATGCAGGCAAGATTGCGGCTTTTTGGTGCTGTTGCTGCTCTAGCTTCTAACACAATTCAAAACAATATGTTCTAAGGTTTTTAATAATAGTTTTTTCATCTTTCCTGTAAAAGATAGGGAGGGCTTAGTCCTGTTTGCCCATATATACCAGCCGTCCCTGTTCATAGGTATGTTTTCATAAGTCTGTAATTACTTGAATATAGGAATCGTCATGTTTTTGTTACCTTAAAATACAGAAGCAGCACGTCCTTCTATGGCCCCCTTGATTGACAATGTTTCTACAGTAGTCCAAAATGGACAAACCAAACAATGGGTCTAGATAGGGGTGTTCTTGGTGTTTTTTGTGTATTATGCAACCACCGTAATTTCTCCTTTGTGCTTGGAATTGGAGCGGGAAGCGAGGGAGTTGCGATATGCACCTACACCCCTACATGCCACTAAACCTGACGCACTGGACCTTTAAACAAGAGCGTACAGTTAAGGATTACCTATATTTGTAAGGCTGCAAATAGATGACATTTGTCATGAAAGTGAGTGTTATATTATATTTAATGCAGTAACTGCCATCTGCAGACATGAAGCACAAGCAAAAGTCAGTATCATGGATAAATACAAATGAACGGCTAAAGGTTTAATGAGAAAATGCTTCTGTCATAACAGGACCAAACTACAGTGTTGTTGTCATTGTTTGTGTCTCGTGAAGTTGCTGGAGTTGGGTTCACCATACCAAACTAATCTGTGAACATAAAAGGTGGAGTCAGTCTGTTTATGGACCCAGCTCACTTCATGTGGAGATAATATGTTCCCACAGTAGGTGTGGGGCTTCCAGGGCAAAGACATTTTGTTTGAGACTGAAAATCCTAGGTGTGAAAGTGTGTGTATTTGTGTGTGAAAGCTCTGTAAAGGACTGGCAGCCTGTCAATGCTCTTTACCTGCCTTCTGTGGCCTCCTGTGAGTTCAGCTCCCAGTGGACTGGACTATGTGGACTACACATTAGAGACTACCTGCTATGCTTTATACAACTCTGCTCCATAGTGCTGCTCCTGCCCTGCTGGGGATGTACTGGAAAAAAAATACACATTTTCACTGAAGTTTCTTTTCAAGTTTATAATATTTTTATATGCATTTATTTTCATATACATTTTTGATTCAGTTTTTCCCAATAGCAATCATATATACACACCAGACGTGTGTATCTCTCTCTTCTAAGACGATCTGATACCTATCTAGATACATGGGCTATAATACAATTCAGGGACAATGCATTATAATATGGAACAATTTGGTACAGTTTGATGCGATTCAATGCGATACGATGCAGTCTGATAGACTTCTTAACATTTTTTTAATGTAGATATTTATTTTCCATTCTACATTAAATTTAGGTGTTCATGAGCTTTGATTCAATCTCAGATCCTTCTGTTTAATGGAAAGGTGTGAGCAATATTTTGCAAATGCATGCAGTATTTTACACAGTCATTTAGTGTGTGTGTAGGTGCAGTTTGAAATCACCAAGCCCTGCATCTGCAGGAATCATCTTTTCACCCCCTCAGTGCCCTACACTGCTCTAGCTCTAGCTTCTTAAGCTCCTCTACAAACTTGAAACCAGCTCCTCTATCGCTATCTCTTCTACCTGTAAAGCTCTCAATCTACCACAAAAGTTTCTCTAAACTCTTTATTAAAACTAACTCTCCACCTCTAAACCAATCTTTTTAAAGGCAAATTCTGATTTTCACCAATGCTGGCGATTCATCCAGTCCATATTCTTTCTATTCCTGTCTTTCCAGGACCAGTAGCAGTGATAAGTGGTGAGGAAGACTCTGCCAGCCCCCTTCATCATGTGAACCATGGGATTATCAGCCCCTGTACGCTGGATGCCGGGCCAGATGCTGTGGTGATTGGAATGACCAGGATCCCCGTCATAGAGAACCCACAGTACTTCAGACATGGACACAACTGTAACAAACCCACCACCTGTGAGTAGCAGACACCCATGAGCCCCTATTTCTTTCATTTTTACTATATAACTACACTGATTGTTTGGCAGCAACATAATGTTTTGTTTGCCAAACTGGCCATAGGTTTTGGGCTAAAAAGCTTTTGCTTCTGCCCGAAATTTGCTTTTACCACCATTCAAATTAGAGGGGCTGCTTTCATCCAAAAGGGGACGGGGTATGACGCAAGAGCAAAGTACCTGGATAGGCTACTCTCATCTATGAGTGAAGTTTTTTCTTTAACTATTTGTCTTAACTTTAAATATTTGTGTCCTTATTGCAAAACCTTTTGCTAACTCCAAGACTACTCTTGATCCTAGAACTCAGCCTAATCTGTTCTGTTAGCTGAAGCTTTTAGCCTAGCTTTTGATATGAAAATCACCACACTCTGCTGCAGATGAAGGTAATCCTCCTCTTATTCAGAACTCTTGCACATAATCTGCATGTTACAGCTCATACTCTGTCACGACAAATTAAGACAAAGACACAGACAGGCTACGTGATGCGGTGGTTCAGCTGATATATTGATATATACTTCTGCTATCCCCCTTCCACCTCTTGCTTTTGACTCAAAATTTTTTTATTTATTTAACACAACTTAATTTCCCATGAGCCATATAAGTAAATGGACGTCTACTCGTATAGCGCCTTTCTAGTCTTCCGACCACTCAAAGCACTTTTACACTACATGCCACATTCGCCCTTTCACACACATTCACACAGCGAAGGCAAAGCCCATCAAACAGAAACCAACCCATCGAACAGAAACTAACACATTCATACACATTCACACACCGATGCATTCGGGGTTCAGTATCTTGCTCCTTCTCTCTTGTGCATCATGGAGCTTCTTGCTTTTCATTTCCCATGTAACAGGTTGGAGCAGCCACACTGCCCACATGAGCAGCGTGGCTCAGGCGCTACTGCAGCAATGCTTCACTAAAGATTCAGTGTGTCGCCTATTTTTACTCATGGTTCTGTTTGTTTTGTGGATCTGTTGATAGTCATACGGACATCATACCAGCAACGTTACACCTTTCACTGTAGTTTCAACAACTATATGTGTAGAATATGTCAAAGACACATCTTTTTGTTAGAGGTCCAGTGTGTAACATTTAGGAGGCTCTATTGGTAGTAATGGAATATAATATTCATAGGTATGTTTTCATTAATGTATAATCACCGGAAAATTAGAATATTTTTGTTTTTGCTATTTCAGAATGAGCCGTTTTTATCTACTGATGTTCACACAGCAGTGCTGCTTCACCTTCCCCTGAGTCTGCCATGTTGAACAACCATGTTTCTTGTTTTTTTTTTTTTTGGTCTTTTATTGCCTTTTTAATTGATATTGACAGCTGAAGATTGACAGGAAAGGGGGGTAGAGATTCGGTACATGATCACCAGCTCTACCAGGTGAGCTAACCGTGTGCAGAACCACCATGTTTCTACATCCCCTAATCGGAAGGTTGTTGGTTCCATCCCCGGCTCCTGGTGCCACATGTCGAAGTATCCTTGAGCAAGATACTGAACCCCGAATTGCGCCCGATGCTGTGCATCGGTGTGTGAATGCATTAGTTTCTGTTCGATGGGCTTTGCCATTGTTGTGTGAATGTGTGTGAAAGGGTGAATGTGGCACGTAGTGTAAAAGCGCTTTGAGTCATCGGAAGACTAGAAAGGCGCTATACAAGTACAAGGTCTATTTACTATTTACCATCCATGTTAGGGGACAGCAGACACAAAGAAGCACAAAAACTAACAACACAATCCTGAAATCCAAAAGCACATCGCACAAAAATATAATAACATTAACATTTGCAGTTCAGCCAGGCAGCTGTCACACACAGGTGGGGGTAGCCAGCATGTCCCGGGCGCAGGGTTTACGTTGGCATATACCGTGTTTGAAATACACCCGGCAGGTGTATTTCTGGGGACCAAAAGAATTTGGTGCAATTTGGACACACCAACACATTCAATATAAGTCACTTTTATTTAACAAGCAAACAGCTATCTGTGCAGCATGGAAAGTCTCTTCTGCCGGCTGCAGACGGGAGATTACACGTCGCTGTTAAACAGGAGTTTAGCTGACTGTGCTGCATTTACTGTAACACCATCGTCCCTCTCTGTTTCTGTCACAATTATGCAAAATACATTTATTGGATCAGAGTGTTTGTGTTTTATTGCTTTTTAAATGTAAACTACTGTATGGCTGTCTAAAAGTCTGGTAGTTGTTCTAAATGGCCAGAATTAATTGCCATAAAACCAAAATAAGTCTGCCCAGGCGTAATAGCACTTTCTTTTTTACATATTTCTCTGTGTTTGTTATTCCAGTAGTCTCTCCACCCTCTCTATGTCTCTATTGAACACAGATAATACAGCGGAGCAAATCACTTCTTTCCTTTATAGCCACATAAATCTCAGAAAATCCCCTGGGAGACACACACACAGACACACAGACACACACACACACACACACACACAGACAAGGTGACTCTTATGATGGATCATCAAATGTGCCTGATTATTTCCATTGTTGGTGGTGTTTGTATCAACTGTATTTCTTCCTGTCATGTGTCTGTGATCATAAACCCATCATCACCTTCATCATGTGAGCTCATGCACAACTCACTAGTACAACTCTCACACACACAGAAGAATACTTTTTTTTTTATTCTGCTCATTAGTTTAATATTTATCACATAGACCATCTGATCTTGCATTTTGAGGCAATAACTTATGTTTTATTCTATTATATTGTTGAAATGTGTTTCTCCATACATCATTCATAGGCTTTTTCCACCAATAGGGAACTGGCTCTGTTATAGTTCAAGCACCTAATTTTGAACCGTTCAGAGTCTGTTGATGATGCATCCAATTACAATGGTTCTTAGTTTGGTAGCGCCAAGGTTCCAAGAACCTTGAACAGAACTGGTTCAAGAACCAGGGATAATTTGGTTGGGCCTCAGTTAGTTTGAGTCAGAGGCCCAGTGTGGTATTGTGATGGATCTACAGATTCAAACAAAGATTCTTGTTCCAGGACTGACAGTATCTTTATTGACAGTCACATGTGACGGGCCAAAAAAATAATGAAAAGTAGAGTCAAAAGTACATAGATTCTAACGTTATTCAGGTGGAAGCAAAATACTCACCATTGTTTATTAAAACAACAAAAATAAGAAAAAAAAATAGCCTGTTTCATAATGAAAACATCCTCTCCTGAAAATGTGACATTTGGCCTGCCACATGACATGAAATAATTACTAGCTAACAATAATATTTACTAACCAATTATGCCATGAATTCCCACCCTATGCCAGGCCTGCATATAAATTGAGATGCCAGAAAAGAAAGGAGAAGAAAAAGAGGGAGCTGGCAAGGTCTTTACACCCAAATAATAATGGAATGACCAAATTTTCTCAGTCAGCTCAGAAAGCTGCTGCCATCCAGACTGAAGAGGCCAATGACAGCCAGGCCTTTCACGTTACTAGCCAAGAGGTAGAAGGAGAGTAAGTTTCTTTCAGTTACATGTGTTCGTATGAGTACAGCAGGGCCCATTCACAGCACCTTTTCAGGTGGCAGCCATTATTGTGGGTGGGCCTGATGCATATAAAGGTATTTCATAAGGCAGCACAATATTGGAAAAAGCTTAAATTTAACAAAGCAGTCACTTCACCCAAGTGAACATCCAGGGATTGGCCATTGAGATGGCAGACAATTATAAATTCCTGGGTGTTCACCTCAATAAAAAACTGGACTGGACTGAAAACACCCATGCTCTCTACAAGAAGGGCCAGATTCGCCTCCACCTGCTGAGGAGACTGAGATCCTTCGGAGTAAGCAGCGCTCCACTCAAGACTTTTTATGACTCTGTGGTTGCTTCAGCCATCTTCTATGCTGTGGTCTGCTGGAGAGGGGGCAGTACGGACAGGAAGTGACTCAATAAACTGATCAGGAGAACGAGCTCTGTCCTGGACTGTCCTCTGGACTCCATTGAGGAAGTGGGTGAAAGGAGGATGTTAGTGAAGCTGACATCCATCATGGACAACACCTCTCACCCCCTACATGACACTGTAGCAGCAGACTGTTACACCCAAGGTGTAAGAAGGAGAGGTTCCGCAGGTCTTTCATCCCTGCCGCTGTCAGACTCTACAACACCTGATCAATGTTGTAGTTTCTGTTTTTCAAATTACCACCATACCATAGCTTTACCACTTTACCATAGTTTTTTTATATCTGTATGTATTTATTTCATGTAAATGCTGCTGTGACAGGGGAATTTCCCCGTTGAGGGATTAATAAAGTAATACAAACAAACAAACAAACAAACATTCACATCACAGTAACATCACGCCGGTAACTATACAGCTGTGCTATTACATATTCCCCCCGGCACAATATTTCTTCTATTACCATGTAATTAAATGAATCCCTAGTTGTTCATTTTGTAATTACAATGTATTAAAGTCAAGAGTTATTGAAATTATTGAAAGTACCTTTCTAGTGCCGTTTGCACTGCCATCCTCTCCCCCCTCAGAGCGTCTATAGCAGCTATATGTATGCTGCTGGATGACGTGAGTCCCAGAGCTCATTACAGTCTCGCTAATTGCAAGGTGGCGGAACGGTCAACGGAGTGTGTGTGTGTTGTGTGTGTGTGTGTGTGTGTGTGTGTGTACGTGTGTGCAGCTGTTTGTGGATGAGTATCATAGCTTAAAGAGCTCATAGTACCCTATTACCCCACTAGAACACTACGTTCTCTGAATGCTGGGCTACTTGTGGTTCCTATGGTTCCTAAAAAAAACCCTTTTTTTCAAACTTCCTTTTCTTTTGAAACAGTTTTTGGGTTTGGGTTGGGGGGGGAAACCCCCACCAAATTTAAAAGTAGAGTTAAAAATTTTTTTTTTTTTAAAATTTTAATTTGGGGGGGGGGGGGGGGGGGGGGGAAAATTTTTTTTTTTTTTTTTTTTTTGGGGGTGAATTTTGGGGGGTTTCCCTTGGTGCACTGAGCTACTCTCTTCCTCTCTCTTTCTGCACTCATTCATGTTCCATTAATGCATGTACTAACTTCACTTCTTCCCCAGAGTTCTTGTGCTTTCTCGTCTCGCAGGTTCTATGGATCCTGGTGGAGCCTCCTGCCATGGTCCTGCTTGACTGCCATTGCCAATACTGTTGTTGCTGTGCACCTGTCTGTCTGTCTGTCTCTCGCTCTCTCTCTCTCGCCTCTCTCTCTCTCTCTCTCTCTCTCTCTCTCTCTCTACCCCAACGAGACGACCCCCCCCCAAATTTTCCCTTTTTTCCCTTTTAAAAGGTTTTCCTTCCCTTGTCGCCAAGAGCCTGCTCATGGTGTCTGTTGGGTCTCTGTAATTAATGTTAAAGAGTTCGGTGTAGACCTGCTCTATTTGAAAAGTGTCCTGAGATAACCTGTTATGAATTGGCGCTATACAAATAAATTGAATTGAATTGAATTGAGTGTACAGTGAAAGACATTCAATTCAATTCAATTCAATTCAATTCAATTTTATTTGTATAGCGCCAATTCATAACAGAAGTTATCTCAGGACACTTTTCAAATGGAGCAGGACTAGACCGAACTCATATAACATTATTTACAGAGACCCAACAGTACCACCATGAGCAAGCACTTGGTGACAAGGGCAAGGAAAAACTGCCTGTTAAAAGGCAGAAACCTAGGACAGATCCTTCGGCTCTAGGTGGGTGGTCGCCTGTCTCGACCAGTTGGGGCGAGAGAGAGAGAGAGAGACAGACAGACAGAGAGAGAGAGAGAGAGAGACAGACAGACAGGTGCACAGCAACAACAGTATTGGCAATGGCAATCTAGCAGGACCATGGCAGGAGGCTCCACCAGGATCGATAAGAACCTGCGAGACAAGAAAGCACAAGAACTCCGGGGAAGAAGTGAAGTTAGTAACATGCATTAATGGGACATGAATGAGTGCAGAAAGAGAGAGGAAGAGAGGAGCTCAGTGCACCATGGGAAATCCCTCGATAGTCTAGGTCTATAGCAGCATAACTAAGGGATGGTTCAGGACTCACCTGATCCAGCCCTAACTATAAGCTTTATCAAAGAGGAATGTCTTAAGCCTACTCTTAAATGTGGAGAGGGTGTCTGCCTCCCGAACCACAACTGGAAGCTGGTTCCACAGGAGAGGAGCTTGGTAAATGAAGGCTCTGGCTCCTGTTCTACTTTTTAGAGACTATAGGAACCACAAGTAGCCCAGCATTCAGAGAACGTAGTGTTCTAGTGGGGTAATAGGGTACTATGAGCTCTTTAAGATATGAAGGGGCCTGACCATGAAGAGCTTTATAGGTGAGGAGGAGAATTTTAAATTCTATTCTAAATTTTACAGGGAGCCAGTGCAGAGAAGCTAGTACAGGAGAGATGTGATCTGTACTCGTGCTGCAGCGTACTGACAGGAACTAGAAAAAGAGATGACATACCATGTACAAGATGGTATTAATGAAAGCATATTCTTAGTGTTAGCACTAGGGATACTATTTGTTCCTTCCCATTACCGATTCCAATGCCTGAACATGCGTACTGGCCAATACAGAGTATTGATCTAAAACACATGCGTTCAAAAATATATGATCAGCCATAACATTATGAGCACTGACAGGTGAAGTGAATAACATTGATTATCTGGTTATCATGGCACCTGTCAGTGGGTGGGATATATTAGGCAGCAAGTAATCATTTTGTCCTGAATGTTGATGTGTTAGAAGCAGGAAAAATGGGCAGCGTGAAGATTTTAGGGATTTTGACAAGGTGACGAGGTGGTCGTTAGGTTATGGCTGATTGGTGTATTTTTTTCTAACAAATGTATACTAATAATCCTGTTGATTGCTATCATTGTTGTATGGCATGGCTCAGGTTAAACCTTTTTTTCAAAGATAGATTAGGCAGCTTATGACTTTGCTAGCCTGGGGAGAAAAATGGTGAATGGGACACTGCTGGGCAGAAGCACGGTCCCATTTTAGGGCTAATACATATCGGATCAGTGCACACACACCAAAACCTGATTTTTGGCAATTCTTCCGATACTGGTATCAGAACAACAACTGTAGCACACACAGTTAGATACACTGGCTGGCACATACACAAAGTGTGGTGATGTGTGTGTGTTATTGCTGAAAGGTGACTGCCCCGTCCTCTCCCTGTGTTAATGGCAACATTAACCCTGGCTATTTGTAACTGCACCAATTAGCCTGTATGGTACACACACACACAGGCTGAGGTATACTCAGAGGACTCTCCTACAATCTGTCATACACACACACACACACACACACACACACACACACACACACACACACACTGACATGAATGTATAGGACATGCAACTGTGATTACAGACACAGATTCAAATTCACACACAATCACTAAAGATGACACACACACACCTGTGTTCTCATGCGCACCCAACCAGTACCAAAAGTACTACTTATAAAATTATTTACAAGGACAGTTCCCACCTTGCATGGCAGCCACTGCCATCAGTGTATGAATGTGTGTGTGAATGGGGTGAGTGTGGCATGTAGTGTACAGCACATTGAGTGGTTGAAAGACTAGAAAGGCGCTATATACAATATATATGCAATACAATGTGCAATAATTACTGTGCAATACCATACCATATTCACTGTGCAATCTATTGCCCATGTGCAACTGCTGCTACTATTTGTGTTATCTGTTGTTGTGGATTCTTACTGTTCTTTCTCTTGTGCATAGTGTTTTTATTATTTCCCTACTCTTACTGTTTTTTATACTGTTTTTTTTCTCTATCCACATTGCTGCTGTAACATTGGAATTTCCCCATTGTGAGACAAATAAAGGAATATCTATAAGTATAGTTCATTTACCATTTATTTTGCCCATGTTTACATACTATGTCAAAACTCTTTACTTTACATTGAACTTTACATTCAAAACATAACATAGCAAGAACTTAGTGGTTTACAAAACCATCCCAGCAGTATAATTTTCCCTCCATCTTACTCTCCAGTCCTCAACAAAAGAGGAAGATTTATGACCACCAGCCACATGATCAGATGTCCCTCTTGGACACAATGCATGTGGAGTAAAGCCTGTCGAAGCACACTGCAGCATTTGTGCATTTTTATTTTTATTTATTTCCATGTAGATATAGAAAGGTCTAGCAAATGTGCAGTCTCATTTAGTGTAACTGTGTGCTATGTTAGGTAAAGTTTTACAATAAATGTGCAAAATGGAGTGCAAATACAGAGGTTGGTCTAGTGTGAGTGTTTTGACTGCAGATTTCTGCCTCCACCAAGAAGGCAAATTCAGTGGTGCACAGAAAACTAAAGACTGACATTTATTTAATTCAACTGCAGCATGTCTTTTCTGAGGCAGTGGCCAGCTTACTCCGATCTTCAGACCTCATTGTCAACATTTTGCTATTTCTGTAGTTAAAAGTACTTCTGATGGAGCACTTGGTATCTCACGTGGTAGAGGCCCCATGTACCAAGGCTTTGCTGCAGCAGCCAAGGGTTCAAGTCCAACCTGTGGCCTTTTTCTGTGTGTTATCCTCTCTCTCTCTCCTTTTCCTGTCTATTTTGAGCTGTCATATCTAATTAAGGCATAAAAGCCCCCCTAATATATATATATATATATATATATATATATATATATATTTTAATTTAAGTAATTCTAATAAAAACTGTTCACAGGTGGGTTTGTATTTTGGTTGAACTGAGCCTTTAAGTGGAAGGATTCATGAAAATTAAAGGCAACACACAGGCTCCACCAAGCTGCCGACTTGTGAATGAATATTGGAAAGTGGCTGTGTGCTAGCATCTGACTGTAATGTGTGTTAACTCAGTCCCTATGTCTCTGTCTCTCTCAGATGTTCAGCATATTAAACGGAGGGACATTATTTTGAAGAGGGAGCTCGGAGAGGGAGCCTTCGGCAAGGTCTTCCTGGCTGAATGTTACAACCTGAGCCCCACCAAGGACAAGATGCTGGTAGCTGTAAAGGTAAAAGAAAGAAGCGGAACGCGTGTGTGTGTGTGTGTGTATGTAAACACTGGCAGCTGCCTTTCTGAGGAACGGAGAGAAAAGCATTGTGTGGAAATGCATCCAGCTGATGGAACAAGTGTGTTCCAGCTGGCAGCAACAGTCAGCTGCATCTCAGAGAGAGAAGCTGACAAGCTGTTTGAACGCTCTCACACACATTAAGGCACAGCTGCTGTCTGTGTTTTTGTTAAATTAAAGGCCTCACAATTAAAGGCCGATTCTGTGCTGATGCTTCCTTTGCATAAACACTCTCTCCTTGTTCTGTGCAATGAATCAGCTCTGTAATGGTTTTAAGTGTTGTCTTAATGATGAGTCGTTCAGTTTGGCCTGACTTCAAACAATCCAGTTCATGATGTCTCTCAGTAAAGCTAAAATATGGCTACTATTGCATGGATTGCATTATTAAGATGACATATGTTGAAGACAGAAGATCTCTTGTCAGTACAGCGGCGGTTATTAATGGAAACATGGCCGACACTTTGACCTGCAGCAGGCAGGTGTTAGTCTTAGTGAGGATATAGAGGGATTATAGCTGCAGCCTTTTTAATCTGAAGGATTTATTGCCCTTTGCTGCATTGTGCTTTTTTTTCTGCCATCCTTACAACCAGCCCCATCTTAGACACAAAGCACACACACACACACACATACACACACACACACACACACACACACACACACACACACACACACACACACACACACACACACACACACACACACACACACACACACACACACACATACACACGCACACAAACACACACGCGTAGACTGTTAATTTCTGCTGAGTCACATTAGGCAGGGAATGGTAGATACAAGGCTGTGCATGTATGTGTGTACTACATGTTGTAATCTATAGTTTCACAATTCAGTGCCTGCAGTACTAATACAGTATGTGAATATACACAGTGAGAACTACTTTGCCTAGATAAGGCTTGTGGAACTATACAACATGCTTCATAAGACAGGACAATAGACTAGTAGAATTTAGTGAAATGCCTGTAGCAACAATCTTGGTGAGTGGTGTTGTATTATTGTGTTTTGTATATTGTAGGTACAGTAAACATTTTTGCATTTTTGTACTTTTGTTTTTGTCTGCACTTGTTTTTTTGTGCCCCTGATTTGCAAGTCAGGTTTCCCATTTGGGATAATAAAATGACTTAACTGACCCTGAACAATATTTGGACCCAAACCCATTGCAGCAAGGACTCATCCCAGGAACATGGGGGGCCAGCTCCACCAGACGAGCCACCAGGGCACAGTGCAGTGCATCTATTGTGAATGTTCTATCAACGCCAGTGTTGGGGTCACTACTAAAAAAACAAAGTCTTACACATTAATCGTTACTTTTGTAAAAAAAACATTAATTCTGAGTTACTCTGCAACATTGCCTGAGATTACATAATATGAACTGCATTTAACAAGCCAAACGCATATAGCAAACTCTTAATTCTGACAACATGTTCTGCCCTCAAAGCAGCACAAGACTGCCCAGGCTGAAGAGGCTCTCCAGGGGTGCACTAGACATGATCAATCAATCAGACTTTTTTTGTAAAGCACATTTCATACAAGCAAAATCAAACACAAAGTGCTTCACACATGGACATGTTCAGGATCTCCATCTCTGACACCGACTTAAAATATTCAATGACTTCACACTGTAATGAGTGTAATCCATGGTTTAAAAAAAGTTTTATACAACTATACAATAGATATCATGATTAAATACATTTTCTGGAAATTCAATTGAGAAATGAGCATGGAAGTTCATTCCAGAGCTTGGAACACACAAAATAGTCTCAACTCTTCAGCAGTCATGTCATCAGCATATGGCTCAGGTGTGACCTAACTGCAAAATGTTGATCACATTATACAGCCCAGTCTCACCCACCAATCCACTCTGTCAATGTCACATTTTGCCTGCAGATTATGCAGGTTAGGTTAATTGGCAAATCTAAATTGCCTGTGGGTGTGAATGTGAGCATGAACGTCTGTTGCTATGTGTCAGCTGTGACGGACACGTGACTATGCCAGCCCCCTGCCATCATTTGGAAAATAATCAGGTATAGCTATTGAAAGGATTGATACTGAATATGTGAGGCATACATATTGGAATTGTTTGTGTACATTTGTCTATGTAAACTGTTTTGTCTCCAAATTGCTCAGCAACACCTATAAGGAAGTTAACCTACAGGCATTCTGTGATTTGCAGAAATTATGTTTCTTAATTTGAAAACTTATACATTTAATTTCTGCTTTTTCTCAGCTATTGTTTGCCCTGTAAACTCAGTTGTTGCTATAAGATATTAGTCAGGAAACATTCACTGGCAGGTGAGAGCTGGGTCAATCAGCAGACTATGAAGGTGTGGGTTACAACAACCAGAACGGTAGAGACCTTGTTTTATCTACAGTTGATAAATGACCATTCCAAAGAGGTCATGCTAAAACCCTACACAGATACCTCTTCACTTCACTAGCTTTCCAGATAATTTGTGCATTGGACTCTTTATGCCCCCATTACTGTTGTGGCAATGAAATGCTGAAGACCACAATTTCATTGAAAGTTTGCACAGACATTTTAACTGATAATGGGGGGAAATTGTCTCCTGTGATTGATGAAAATTATGTAAAGACTTTTAGAAAGGATAGCATTTATTTAAACTAAAGGTCAAGAACGCCTAGACATAAATGAGATATTACCTCAGTAATGGGGCCCGTTTACATACAATCCAGATTTTTTCGATATGGAAATCAATTACAGTGAGATCCAATCTGAAATTAACTCCACAGGCCACACCTTTTTCATTTTGGTAATTTCAGGCTTACATAAAAAACAAAGTAGTAACCTCCTATGTTTGATATTTATTTTCTTAAACCCCTTAAAATCAAGATCGAGAAGCGAGAGGTGCAGAGAGGGAAGAGTGAAGAGGAAAGAGTAACGCTGTGCCAGGAGTTTTATCACCTGGACATCGTACATCATCAAGTTGTATCAAGTTACAGTCAAGTGACCCATCACAATAAAAGTCCAGTTAAACACTTCAAATGAACTAGTTCATGTTTAAAGGTCTCCTTTGGACCCTACAAAGCAATGAGGGACAAAATCCACAGACCTTGTTTAGTGCGAAAATACATTACAAGGTTTATCTGAAAATAATATGAGGCTGAAGCCATCCAAATTCGTTAAATCAAGAGTGTATCTTCTTCTGTACCAAAAAGACTCAGTTTGTCAAATCAAGTGTATATCTTTAACAGTTATAAACTGCTGAAAGCCTTATATGAGCTTAAGGTAAATTTTGGAATACATTCTTGATCAGAAATAGAAACATGTTTAAGTGCTTATTTGGGCAACTGAATATTGTTTAAGGACAGACTTTAGAATTTCAAAATGTGAACCTATCCTCACAGGTTATAAATACCGACAGGTGAAATAAAACAAGATATGAGATGTAAGGTCACACGTTGTTTTTTGGTTTTCTGTCACACAAACGCACGCAAAAAAATAACAAGGGTTAGGAAAAAATATATAGGTACATTGCAGCCTATTAAAGGGAAAAAGGATTTGTGTGTGTGTGTGTGTGTGTGTGTGTGTGTGTGTGTGTGTGTGTGTGTGCGTGTTTAGGTGTGTGTATTTGTTAGTCTTGACAAGGGGGAGCCGAGAAATAGAAGAAGGAAATGAAGAAGACAAGCGAGAAACAAGGTTGACTAATATACAAAGGAGGGGAAAAAAGAGGGAGAGATAAGTAAATATGTCTTCCTGGTGGCACCTCCTAATGCCCCACGTCCATATATACTTAGGGCCCGAGCACTGACAAGTGCGAAGCCCTATTGTATCTGTAGGAATTATTATTATTATTATTATTATTATTATTATTATTATTTTCATCGCAAATGAATGCATTTTTGGAGGATTTTCAATGCTCGACAGCTCATGAAATGCGGTACACATGTCAGTCATGGTGAAAACTTCCGTATTCATGAGTCACGTGCGTGGAAAAATGGCTTGACAGCGCCCCTTATTGAGCAGCCCCAACGGCACGTTTCACCTAGTATGAAAAGTGGTACACATGTAGATCACGTCATGACGTACAAAAAATCCTGTTGGAGCCATATCCCGAACCCAACAGGAAGTCAGCCATTTAGAATTTCTAGGATATTTTCGGAGATTTGCACACGTTGTATTCGAACAAATTTATCTGATCACTTTCAAATTTAATCAGTGCAATCTAAAGACATTCATGATTAAAAGTTGTTAAATTTATGACGTCCAATTTCGACAGTTCGCCATGAAAAAGGAAGTTATCATAACGTCAGTTCAGTCAGATAACTCACGTTTGCAATGTTTACTAAAGAAGTATAGCATATTAAGATTTTGGCATCTAGGCTTCGACCTCATCAATACCTTAACCCCTGGCTGGAGCCTACAGGTGGATGCTGGGGTGGTGGTGGGGCTAACAGCGCAGCAGGCAGCAATAGCTTACAGAGTAGCAGCAATGTTATGCAAGGCAACAGCGGCATTGACAAAGTAGAGGGAGAGCTGGGAAATTTTACAGCTTAAATAGACCACCAGATTAAAAGGGTGCACTTGGTTAGTGATTATGGAATAAGACATGTCATGTGTATATAGCAGCACAGCTCGAGTTGACTGCCTGAACTAGCTCGCAGGCTTCGCTCCATTGTACATGGTCCAATCTCAACGAAAATTCACAAGAGTCCCGTCCTGAACACGTTTACATGACAATATTCAGATATAATAGCTCCACCTATTGGCAACAGGAAGTAAGCGCTGCATGGCGATTTTTATCGGATATATGTGTAATTTTCATGTTGTGGTCTGCACGTGTGATGACGTGCCTTGATGCGGCCGCAGCACACCCCGAGTTGCATGGAGTGTGAAGGCCCGTTCATCGCTGCTTGCAGCTTTAATTATTATTATCTTTTATTTTATTTTATTTTTTTCCCCA